TAGTAATAGTAGCAGTCGTAATATTCCTGGTAGTTGTACCAATAGAACTAGTATAAGTAGTAGTGGAATTGCCACCGGTAATGACACCTGTGTGTGCCTCACTATCGCTTGAGGCGTCCTGTGCCAATGTGATTTATTTGCCTTTTTCTTCTCCACCTGTTAAGGATGCAGAGGAAGAGGAAGAGGATAAGTTGTTGGCAGCCTGGAAAACGTACCTGGACTGGGCGGTAGGCAACTGTTCACAGAAGGCCACAAAGTCGGTGGTCCAAAAGAGGTCCACGACCGCTGCAGATGCTGCACCCCCTCCACCCCTCACCCCCTTCGAGGTCATCTGTCTTTTTGAGAGGGCCATCACTGCCCTCTGTTTGCATCCCTCCGTGTGGCTGAAGGCGGCTGACTTTCTGGTAAGTCATTTCAGGATAGTGCTCCCCTCCCCACAATGCCAAACATGTCAATATTTTGTAAAAACGAATTTTTCTGACGGAATTCCTGTCCTTCTGGGAGGAGAGCGCACCGGATGTCTCCTTGGCCTTAAGAGCTAGCTCCTTCTGTCTCATTACAGCAGACATGCTGGCTCGTGTTGGCATTGTGGGATACCGGCAGATAGTATTGCCGGCAAAGACAGAGGAGACTGGAATAGCGATTTCTGGTTTATCAACCGTCGTTAGCCAGTCATACCCACAACCAAGTGGTGCCCCACTCCAGCCTCGAGCTCGCGACCTTTTTGATCAGGGTCAAACGCCCTAATCATTGAGCCACGAGCTCGTTGTCTAGCCGGTTTAAGTCCATATATTGTGGGATACTAATAAATACGCCACTACGGGACATGGCAAACGTCAACCAATCTCTCCACACCCGACTGTACTGTGAGTGCACCCTCGGGGCCGTGACCCCACTGTTTAGATCTCCCTGTCCTGTTTAACACAGTAAACCACACCTTTGCTTGCCCTCGGCCGGTTGTTATGTCCCTCCCTTCCTCCCCCCCCCAATGAGCAGGTTGTGTAGAACCGCTCTACCCTGAGGCTGTTTGGCTCCAACATGAACACTCTTAGGAC